TACTAGGCAATAATACTCAATAGTTTTTGCTTTATCCTGAAAAGTAGCTCGTTTTTTAAAATGCTGATAACTATATTGAAAAATATTTGTCAGAATCAGCTCAAACTGTCTACACAGAATGAGGACATTAATGTACATCAGAATACTGTAATTCCTCTAAAATTCGTAACATCAAGTTTTGTATTTGTAATTTTAAAAATAAATTTGTAGAGGGAGAGTAGTTACAAAGCTTTTAAATTAATTATTTTGTTCAATTTGGAGGGATCCATTAGTACACAACACCAGCTGTATGCTAACCTGGCTATTCAGAGTATCCTTCTCTCATATTCAACTTAGAGGTAAGTGATGAAATTAGAACCACGTGGAACAATTATATTTAAAATGAATTTTAAAATTAATTATGGTGGAAAATTCAAAATATTTATTTTCAAATTTAGAGCACCAAATATTTAGAGGAATTACGATATATAATAAAAATTCTGCGTGATTTCGGAGCCAATTTAAAAACAGTACCCAAGGCTATATTTTTCCAGATTTGGCTCATTTTTTAAAATGGTCATAACTCGAAAGATTTTTGCCAAAATCAACTCAAACTTTCTACATAGCATAAGGGCATCAATATGTATCAGAAAATGTAATTTTAAAATTGGGGTGATTTTGGGGCAATTTTTTGGACAAAATACAGGGTACTTTTCAGAATTTTGGCATTTCTTTAAAATGGCTGTAATTAAAAAATGAAACCAAATTGGATCAAACTTTTTACAAAGCATAAGGACAACAATATGTATCAAAAAATGTAATAAAAATTTATAGAGTGACTCCAGAGCCATTTTTTGAAAAAAGTTATTTGCAAAAATCGGCCCATTTTTAAAAGCTCATAACTAAAAAAATAATTGTTAAAATTAGCTCAAACTTGCTACATAGCATAAGGACATCAATATGTATCTACAGTACAAGACATACAATGATTACATTTCCTATTAGCTCAGTCCAAACACTTACCTCAATTGTTACAGATCTATAAAGATCCAGTCCGCATTCCTGTAGCTGCATTGTACCAGGATTGATAGCTCCAAAGAAATCCTGTGGCATCATAATAATTATCGATAGTACGCAAACTGTCTTCCTCTATGAATAAAGGGTAAAAATATAAGCTCACTAAGTATAGTTTTTAAATTGGCAGAGTTAAGAAGACAGGGAAGCATGAGGGGGTCAGTGTAATACTCTGAACAAACCTCACAAGTCATAGTGATAACTGGACTTGTATTTTCTGCCATTTTCTATGAATAAAAAAATCATCACAATACCACTGACTGAAGTATGTTACTTTTAAGAAGTTTTCTTAGTCAGAAAGCAAGAGAATAGGTGAAAATGACTGACCTCGAACTAGAGCAAGATCTCCAGATCAATCTAGCCCCACCTTAAAGGGGGTTGTGACTTGTTACTTTGTTAGTCAATGCCTACCCTTTTCGTGTCACCAAACTCTTGGTCGTGTCACATATAGACGGAAATACAACGATGCTAGGCAGAGTTATTTGCTTTTATGCTACCTGCTACTCCTTAAATGGTGGAGTATCCAATTGGGTCCCTGAAGTGTATTCTTGTGTTTATCAAGTTCCTACAAAGATGTTTGGTGATCACAAAAAGCAGCATGTAATTGAGAGCATCATTGTGAAGGCTGGAAGCAGTGCAGTATGTTTAGGGTATAATGACATTATGTTTGAAAGAATTTATGGCCAACGAGAGGAATGGTGGAAGATGGTTGAGATAATAACGGAAGATATAAGAAGTTTTGAAGATGGGTTTATCAACAAAGGATTGCTCCCGCGGCCCATAAGACCTAAAGACAAATCACTGGCACAGTTAAAGATCAAATACTTAAGGATATATTGTGCTGATGCTGACATTATGGAGGCTGTTAATAAGGATGGCACAATAGAAATTTGAGAAGAAAACTCCCTTTTCCACCATCCTGATGATTTCTGGATGAGAGTAGTAATGATTGATATTGCCAGCAT